AGCCCTCTCATTCTCATTAATACAACTTGAGCTGTCATTAATGGAGTCTTTGAACTTGTCTAGAGAGATGAAGGAAGAAGGAGAAGCCAAAATGGATCCTTCAAATGGAGACAAAACTCCCTATTTATAGGAAAGGGGGAGTGCAAAACTACCCTAACGGCCCAAATGGGCCAAAATGGGTCCAATGGACTGAAATAGACCTAATAGGCTAAAGTGGCCTCATCATCGGCCTCCAAACTGGGGTAATGTCCTAGGCCCTTAAATAGTAGTAGGCTGAGATAATATATCTCAACAATCATCACGGACGACATAGTTTTAATGATGGAAATACACCTATTAGTCAAACTTCGCCAATTAGGTTCTTGGACTTGTAGCTTTTCCTAATCTTCTATTTACGCTGTTTGAAGCGTATTTTTACAGAGTAGGAATTGTTTTAAAAAAACTTTCATCAAGCATGTTTGGATATTTTAGATATAAATGCCCATTATAATTTAATGAAATATCATGATGTGGATGGGAAGATATTTTAATATAATATTTATTTTCAATAATTCTCAATCTTATCTATGATTAATCAGTTTTGGTTTTGACTATCTTTTGAACTCAAGGGAAAAGTCAAGAGTTCTGTCATTTTTTGTAAAACAAGCAGGGCCGTTTTTTAGGAGGTTCAATAGACATCCAGAACAGGGCCCCCAATTTTATGGGGCCCCAAATTTTTAAAAAATTATTAAAATTATATAGTAATATTACATATTAATACTAATCACTAAAATACAGTTAGCTAGTAAAGACGAAAAATATAGATCCATCATTTTTCTCGTTGGTCCTTTTACTCTTTTAGTTCTCTTTTAATTAGTATTCAATTGATTTGAGTATAAGTATTTGGGCTAGGATTTTTTTATATTTTTTATATTAATGTGGGGCCCCAATTTTACATTTTGAACCGAGGCCTCCAAATTTATTAGACGGCCCTGAAAACAAGTAACACCTGTAACTTTAATGTGTTCTTCTTGGATGCAGGTACGTGCCCTCTAATTTACATTCTTTTCGTATATACATCTAAAACACTGCTCTGAACATGTTTTGAAAGAGCTAATAAAAAAAAAAAACCCCAATTTAATTACACTTGGTTCAATTTAGTGAAATTTTAGCCTGCTTTAGATTCGGGTTGGAATTGAGCAACCCAGAAGGCTAAGCCGTTCAATGGTTGAAATTGAGTAATGATACTAATAATGAATCATTCCAAGAGATCATTCGGTCTTGTATTAGTACTAGTTATTGCGTCGCGCGATGCGCGATGAAGAGGATGCCCAATAGTATATATGAACTATTAATATTAAGCCGTATTGTGTGTGTGTAGAATAAAGATCAAATGAGAACAATGTTTAACGTGAGAACATGAGAACACCACATTTACCCCAATGTGATGCACAATGAAGCTCGCCCAATGCACACTTTCGTGTTCGGCATAGTATTTACCAGATTGCCACCGTGATTAATTATATAGGCTTGTTTTCAACAAAGTCAAAATGTGCACTAGATGGGCTCTTTTGTGTATCACGTTGGGTTAATTGTGAGTGTTCTCACGTTAAGCATTGTTCTCATTGGAACCGCACCCTGTGTGTGTGTGTGTGTGTAGGAAGCGGTTCCAGTATGAACGGACTCCCAGGAGAAATGAGAATGAACTTGGACCGTTGGATTGTATTATGTGGAATTGAATTGTGCATTTTGTGAAACTGAAATGTGCATTAGATGATGTTGAAATATCCAGAATAAAAATTTAAACTCAAGTGTGCATTAGGTAAAATTGAAATGTGTGGAATCAGAGGTATAAAAACAACACCGTGAAATGTGGAGTGCTTTGAATTCTTAAAAAGTGGTAGAAGTTTTGTACTACTTATTTATTTGGCAAAGACAGATGTTGCCAAACGCTTTTGCAAATGATCAATTTTTATCCCAATTGTGTTCGAATTTAAGTTATTTAATACAGAATGATAGCAAAATGCAACCTCGAACCATACTTGCTTGGTTTATTAGCCTTATCTGATTTAATACCCTTCAGGAAGGTTGTACTAACACATTTATGTCTCTAAGGAACCCTAACAACATTTTTATGGAAATCTGCAAAATAAAGTGAAAGAGATTGTAGAAAGTAATGAAAGCCTCAGGCTTCCTAAAATTCGGAAGCTATTCACCTCAACTCACTGTTTATTTCATTAGCTCTTCCTCTAGAAATTTATAACTTTTTTCAGGATTGATTACTCAACTTGATCATGCATATATTCTAAATAGTGTTTACATCTAGAATTTAATGAATTACTACCTCCGTCCCACTAAGATTGGGACGGAAGAAGGTGTCACGATTATTAAGAAAAGTGGATTTCTGTGGTTGATATTAAATTGATAAAGAATAAAGTAAGAATGGTTTAGAGCCACACAATCTTTACCAAATTTGGAGAATCTTAGTGGGACTTACAGAAAAGGTAAAATAGACAATAGAAGCACATGGTGTGTTATTTTACCTTTTCAAGGTATTTCGAAACTGTAAGCAAAACAAACAACTTTAATTTTTTTGCAAACCTTAGTGCTTCCATATATCTGGATTTCTTTAAGTCTTGAAGAAGTAGATTCTACATGCTTGTAAAAAATTACAAGTCAAATAAATATGAACGTATAGCTAAATTTGCCTTCAGTTAGAACAACTTGTATAATGCATTGATTTAGTGGAAGGCAGAGAGACTTTCGTAGCATTGAAGAGAGCCTCAGTAATAATCTGCAGAGGTTAGACTCCATAACACGCAGTTATAGAGTCTTCAATTGTAAAATGTAAGATTATACAATTGACATTTATATAAAATTATAGCTGTAAGATTAGTAAACTGAAAATGCTAAATTAATTGTCTATGTTCTTTTAAATTTCTTTCTTCTAGTCACTATTTTTTTTCAATAATACCATTTCTGGTCTTTAAAAGACAAACACAAATCTGTGATGCAATATATAGAACCAGGAAATAAAAAATGTAAACCAACAAGAATTCTCCTAGTTGTTGTTAGTTTGTTACTTTTAACCAAAAAAACGAACCTTCATACAGGCCAACATTTTCTTCCTTAAGCAAGTGGTTCAGTGGTGTGTGGTTTATGTGTGTGTGAGAGAGAGGTTATTATTTTACTTTCCTATAGTGGTTTAATTAACACTAATTGAGTATCTTGCTTAATTAAGCTTTAATGCTTTATTCATATTTTTTCTTTTTTTATTCATGAGCAAACGTGCCAAACCCATTAGCTTGTGTCTCCTCTACCTCTTTGATTCTGTGTATTACTTTAGTCCTTGCAAACAGTGCACAGAGTTATCCATTTCATTGAAAGTATGGCTTCAAAGAAGGAAACACGACCAACAAGAAAATAATATGTAATTGAATCGAGTACATTTACTTCAAGAAATGATGTCTCCCTTTCCACGAAAAGGGAAAATGTTTTCACACCAATAATATACATGAATCGAGTACACCATGAAATGTACTCCCTCCGTCCCCTTTTAAATGGGACGGGAGACGGTGGCACGAGTTCCAAGAAAAGTGAGTTTGTGTGGTTGATATTAATTGATAAAGTAATAATAAAGTAAGAATGATTTTGAGCCACACAAAGTTTACCAAATAAGGTATGGGGCAATTAAATAGGGACATCCCAATATGGTAAAACGGGACATTTAAAAGGGGACAGAGGGAGTATCTAGGTTTCGTAATCTCTATGAATATTGGCATGAATGAATGAAATGAATATCTGATATGAACAGGTAAAAAAAAACCATTTATTTTTAAGCCCATATATTTACCTGCAATGTCTATCATTTTCTTCATTGTTCAATTTCTATGTCATATATAAGTTCGATCTCTATTTAAGCACCTCACTCCTTTTTTAGGCAGATAAAGTTATGATACTTTATGTAATCTATACACAAAATCCCGTGACGGTTCTTCCAAAAAGATTCACACAAGATATTCGTGCAGCATATTTCATTTTTAAACTGATGACATTGCCTTTGTATATAATAACTACTTAAACTTTGTTAAAATTCTTGATCTATTAAGCGTTTTTTTAAACTGTATGAAGGGTTGATCTATATTTATTCTTTTTAACACTGATTTCATATATTCATGTTCGCTAGACTTCAAACTCTTTTGGAACTAAGACTTAAATGTTGTTGTAAGCATTCTTGTTTTTAAACAAGATACGATAACCTACAAGTTTTAAAAAATTGGCATTACCCCAATTAAGATGAAAATGAACTTCAAAGAATAAAAATTATGAAATGTGGTCTCAAATACTTTTGATATTTGTCTTCTTTTTGTTCAAAAGTAAATGAACTTCAATGAATCTTATTCTATTATTATTATGGTTATTATAATGATCTTGGTTGTTTTATTTCCCCACATACAATCTATGCTACAAATATTTTATTCGTGAAGTTTCTTTATTAATTTCTAACAAACTATGTATACAAATAGTTTACTCATAATACCCACATATTCTCTCAACATAAATGGTCTTGGACATTTACAAGAACGCACACCTCTCTCTAACAAAACTTGTGGAATATTTTAGGCTTCATTTGACTTTGGAGGTATTCTGTCGGCAACAAAGTTTATATTTCTCAATTTTGGGCTACTATGTTTAACAGGTCGGCTTGTCGTTCCGCTCCTAATCCTTTGTAGCATCGTTTTTAAGGGGGCAGGCTACAGCCCTCCCCATTTAGTTTTTTGTATATCCCATCTTTTAAATAAAATTCTGGAAAATGCACCAGACACTTTGCCTACTGTTAAAAGTGATTCTTTTGGGCAAAAAAAAGGTCAAAGTACAATTATATATAATGGACCATTGTCAATTATTCTAGTAAAGAGTGCATAAAAGCATGTAATGAAAAGGCATAAGATGTCGGTTTTCAAAACAAAAAATAGAGCATAATAGCCAAGGTCTCTGTAGTGTCAACACTCACTATAGCTCCCAACAATCATGACCCAGGTTTGCAGATCACACGTACAAGGACCTTAGCAGATAAAGCTCAAGTAGATTTATTATATTTGAGATCTCACTAAAGGTTGAAGCTATTTTATGACATCCACTTGCAAAAGGGATGAGAAATGAGGAAAAACATGCTTTTGATAAAATAGTGTTTTTATTAGCAAATGCTTCTAATGATCATGAAAAGGGCATGATTATCAAATGTCAAAGTACAGAGAATTGTTATGGCAAGTGCTAGAAAAAAATGAGGGTAATAATTACATTGCTGTAAATCAGAGAGTGAGAGCTTCTTATTAGCTACCTACCAATCTTCTCAACAGAAAATTAAAAACAAAGTCTTTAGCTACAAATGAAACCAAATTAAAACCAGATACATTAGTGTGAGATAAACTTAATTTCTAGAGAATATTTTAGACCCAATTTAATATGATATCAAATTATCAATGTTTGATCAGATAGCCCTATCTGGACACATGAAGTGTGAAGTATAACGTCTTATATCAGATATTTACAAGTTTGAGTCTAAAACATAAGTATGAGGTAAACATTATGTCAAAAAAAAAACCTCATACAATATGCTAGACCTAATATAATACTAACTTAAACATTAAACTGAAGAAGCAATACCTGTCTAGCTGCAGCTTTCTGGACAAAAGAGGGATCCAACCTTTTACTATTATTATTATTATCACTTGAATCATATAAAAGACAAGAATTTCTCTTAGAGAAAGCATGCATATGTATCTTTTCCAAAGCCAATTCTCTTTCACTCCAATCAGTTTCAGGATAATCATCCATTTCACTATGGCCATTAAACTTGCTGAAATCCCTAACTGCACCTTGGCTTGGCCACAAACACCGGCTATACTGTGAAGCTTTAGACTTCTTCTTCTTCTTCTTCTTCTTCAAAGGCTTCTTCTTCCATCCATCTTTGCTGCTTATACCCAAAGGATACTCTGATTCTCTCTTCTTATCCCCATCAACACTATTTGAAGGAGAAAAGTTAAGAATATGTAAAGAATATATTTACCAAGCAGACATAGTCAACCAAACATGTTAACAAACACACAGGTATAAAGAATTAAGCACAAAATGAAGAGGTAAATTGGGTTAAAGTTAACAGTGAACCATTGAATCATTAGGTAAACAAAATTATTTTGTTAAAATTGGATTAGCTTCTACTCCTATCAATTCGATTATTTTGAAATAGCTAATCCAATATCCTAAATTTATTTTTGTTTCAAGCTCAAAATAGGTTTAGGCATAAGTCGACAAAGTCCAAGAATGGGGGATTACGGGATAAAAGATGAAGGGAGTGAAGCCTCACCTGCAATAATCAAACATCCCAGAAGTCCACAAGTCCAGGAAACTATCAGCTTATAGGAGAGGAGAAGATGAAGGGAGTGAAGCCGCATGATCGAGGAACCCCAGCGCCGATTTCTGGACTGAAGGTTTGAACCCTGGGAAGAGATGCTCAGTTAAGCGAAGAAATGAGGTTTGTATACTGTATATGAATTGAATTGATAGGAGTCGGAACTCAGAAGTAGAGCTACGAACGAGACGTGAAGTTAAACACGACGAAGTCTACGAACAGGTGGTTTAATTAACGGAAGTCTGGAGTAGAGAGTACTGAAGAAATCAGAAAGGTACTATGCCCTTACAATAATGTACAACTCCATCTAGCTACACTATACTACCAACAAATTTTTTTTCCCAAAAGGGTATTAACCCTCATTCACCCTTATAATATTTTAGACTACTTTTTCTACGCGCATTGCACAATTAGCTAAATGCCTATTGAGATAATTCTTCACACAAATCTTTTGCATAAAAAAAACTATTTGTTTTGTACGTACAAAAGTATGCATCAACGTGGTTTTAATTGGTTGTTGTATCAGGGGCGGATCTAGCATTTGAGCTCAGGTGGGGCAAAAATTTAATTAAAGAAGGTATATTACAAAAAAATGTCAAAATGGAAAAATATAGTTAAATAATATTACAGAAATGTCAATGAAAAAATATTCAGTACCAATTTTCAAGTCAATTTCTCCAAAACCAATTTTCTTTTGACTCTATAGTCTATTTCTCTATGTATAAAAAAATAAGCTAATTAAATTTCACTCACCAAGCACAATGAATTGAACTTATTAACTGTTTATGTAATATTCAAAAGTCCAATGAATTCATCTAATTAATTTTTCAATCCAATATCCAAAAGCCCCATGAATTGATTTAATTAACAATATTCAAAATTCCAATTATTTGATACTAACATTCAAAAGTCCAATGTAAAAAACCGATGGAGTTCAATTTAAGGGGGCGTTTGGTAGTATGTAAAGTAATTACTTTGCATGCAAAATGTAAGGACGTAAAATGTTTACACTGTTTGGTTTGATTATTTAATGTAAACTGTAGGGCACTTTTTTAAAACATTTCACACTGTACCATGTAAAGTATTTTACGTGGGGGGGAAGGTGGTAAAATACTTTGCATGTCTTTTATGAAGCACTGCAACGACTTTGCATATAATTTAAAAATAAATAACACATCTAGCCAAACAATGTAATTTATTTTACATGCAAAATGATTGCTTCCCTATACTTTGCATGTGATCACTTCGCATGCAAAGATTTAACGTGCAAACTACCAAACGAGCCCTAAAGGAATAATGTTAAAACATGAAACATATTACAAAATTTGGACAATTTTAAAAAATTAAAAGGTTGTACGAGAGTTATAAAAATACTGGTGTCCAAGGGGATTCGAACTCATTCCCTCATGCTACACAAGCTTTCCAAGTTTAGTTCCTTTGGACTACCACGAATTGTTTTTGGAAGTTGGTGTTAATAGTTATTTTAATAAAACTGTTAAAATACAATATACTAATATACGATAGTATACATCTTTTCTTTATATAATATAAAGTAACAGTCGTTGCACCACAATTGGAGGGAAAAATCCCGCCCAAACTGATGTCAGAATAGGAATTTAATCTAAAAAGTAAATTTGGTAATAATTAGATTAGGTGTACGTATTAATTGAATGGGCAACAATTTGGCCATAATCTTGCCATATTTATTTCACCATACATAATAAGGAATCAATTAGGGGGAAATGGTAATTGAATTGCAATATAAAATTGTAACCATATTCAGTATTCATGCAACGTATATAGAAATGGTAATTTTTCTTACTACAATTATTTTAACATGTAGTTTACATGCAACGTATGCAGAAGTTTTTTTAAAAAAATTGAAATTGTTTTCCTTACTATACATATATCTTTATATTATATTATATATATTATATATATTTTCTTTATATAATATAAAGTAACAGTCTTTGCACAATTATTGGAGGGAAAATTCTCGGCCATTCCCGCCTAAAAAGAGGACAAAAAATGTAAATTGGATTGCCTTAGCTAGAAACCACTAAAGTTACACACTTACACATACGTACCAAATTAGTCATTACCAAATTTACAAGATTGAGTGAAATCATTTATAATTTATAAATTTTCATCATTTATTTCTAAACTAACAAATTAAATGGCTAACATGTAATTTAAACACTAAATATTGATACGTAGTATCTACGGAGTATTATTTTAATCATTAAACGTAGATAGTTTTTGAAAGCTAGCTATAAGGCTGCCTGCAACCCATAGGTGAACAACCCAAATTTAACCTATTCACCCAAATAATTACTCCATCCCATGTATTTTGGGGTGCCAAGTAGGTGGATGGCACCCCTGACCGGCGGAATTGGTAGGAATATTGACGGAGAATAGAAACTAATGGTTACAACGCGGGCCCACATGTCAGCCACCATAAGCACTCTGCATCACTCCACGCATCAACTAATGGGGCTCCATTGTTGATGTTTTCATGGGCACTTGCAGGGGCGGATGTACTCTCACGTTAATGGGGGCACTTGCCCCCAATAAACTTTGTGTTTTCATTAAGTAATACATTAGTTGTATATCCAGAAAACTATTTTCCCCCATTAAATATTTCAAGGTGCCCCCAATAAAAATTGAACATCCTCAAATAATGATAGTTTAGGTCACTAAATTGATCATATACGTAGTATATAACTATAAAAATGTTTATTTTGTTTATAGCAAATTTAATTGAGGTATATCAAGTAATATAAATTATGAGAAATTAAAAAATGATTCGAATATAATTGAATCTAGATGAGATAATTGAATTCAATATTCAAAAATATGAACATTCGTTGGATACTTGACTGTAACTTTTGTCAATGTCAAATACTCCATATACAAAAACTGATTTAAAACAATATCCTAGATAAAATTAGTTTAATCATAAATAAAGAATTGAAGTTGATAGAGTATATGGGCTTAGACCATGGCCCCCATACTCATAAGGTCAAGGACAACAGAGGAACATCCACGTGGCGCCCTTCGGCCTAGTAGGCCGCGCAACGGCCAGAAAACAAAGTCATCCAGGATACTGCCTGGAGGCCCAATGGACCGCATCGGCCGTGGACCGCTTCGGCCAGGAAGCATCCTGGCAAAATGTATTTTCCTACAATTTTCACTAAGTATTGTACTTAGCCCATTACAAGCCTTATTCTGCCCAAAGAAGACATGATTATTGTAATAGGCCTCCTAAGCCCAAGGTTAGGGGCCCAAATCCACATTTACTCCCATAAATACTTCCCTTGGGGGTAGTTAGAGGGGGTTGAGAAATATTTATTGCTCACTTTCTCTCTCTAACTCTCACTTCTCTCTAGAATTAAATATTCAATCAGAAGTAATTTCTAAATATTTTATAGAGATGGATGAATTTTATTTGGGTTTCTTACATAAATATTCCCAAAATTAAACGCATTTATATAAATATAACTAATAGTTATTATAATGCAGTGTCATAGTAACTTAAGTTTAAAAATTGAACATAAGTTACTATGATTTCATTACTACTTCTGTCACTAGTCACATTTTTGTAAATAATCTTAAATTTAGTCTAAAATGTGTAATCATTACATTTTATTTTGACGAACAAATAATTAGATTACTCTTGACTAATGTTCTTTTTTATTAGCTTTAATAACATATATGAATTTTAACCCCTTTTTAATTGTGTAAAAGTAATGCTCAACAAACTGCTAATAATTTATTTGGTAACATAAACTCTTTCTACATGATGCCGTTCGTTTTTAGAGTGTTTTTATTTGGACTGTTTTCAATCTCACATCAGATCAAACCACACTAGACCAAATTAGATTTGGACAGTCATAAAATACACATATATAAAAAATTTACTATGCCAAATTAGATCAGAAAATTTCAGTCCAATTAAAAACTTTCTTAATCCTTAATCCATTTAAAGAAAAAACTAAAAATACTGTTGAAACAGATACCTAGCGAACTAATTGTGACATACCGTTTGTTAGAATTTTGCAATGCATAAGTTTATTAAAATTATTAAATTCTTATATTAAAATACCGCTAGATATATAAAATCTATGTATAGTAATCACATAATCGCCTATGCACTAAATCATATACGTAATGAATTATAGGTTTGAATATTATGAGTTAGTGCCCCCAATACAAATTTTTCCTGGATCCGCCACTGGGCACTTGTAATTTATTTCAGATTAAGCTTAGGTGTCCATATTTTAATACTTATGAAACAATTATTTTTTTACATCTAAATGTTAGATTTTTTAAATCATAATTGTTGGTGTGTAAGAAAACGTCACTTAATTAATGTGTAATAATAAAAGTTAGGATTTATAAACTTATTTTAAAAAAAATAGTGTTGAGTGAATATATTGACGGTATTGGGTTGCAGAGAAAAATGATTTGACTGAGTGAATACGTATAAACAGATGGGGAATTTGATTTATTGACGGGAGAGGGTTGCGGTTAGCCTAATGACCATGTGGTATAACTTAACTTCCATTTTGAGATTTTATTTATATACGGCATCTATTTTTCTTAATGAATGTAAAAAGATTTCAAATAAAATGAATGAAATAATAATGATGATGATGATGATGATGAAGATGATGATGATGATGATGATGATAAAAATAATAATAGCAATAATAATAATGGTAATGATGGTAATTATAATAATACTCTGTAGTAATAATAATAATTATAATAATAATAATAATAATAAAATTGATAAATTATGTCTTTATTTTTCTTATTGAGAAAAATAAAGACATAATTTATCAATTTTGATTTGATCGGCATTTTCTGATTTGAATATTTATAATCTGATCGAAATTTTTCTTATCTGATTTGATTAGATCTGAGTTAAAAAAGAATAAGCAACAAGTAATACGATTATACGAATAAGATTGACAGAACAGATTCTAAGTTATATGAGGAAAAAGGATCTTTTATAGTAACTTTAATCAATTCAGTCAGAAAAGTAACTTTAGTAATTCAACGCTACTAATTAAAACTTATGTGTTTAGGGGATATTGGCTGATAAGACCGATAAACCGAAAGGATCATTGGGACTAACTCAAACTAATACCCATTTAATACTCTCAATCCCTATGTCGGTTAT